ATCTAATATTTTTATCAATCGCCTATTTGAATAATAAATACGCTGGTAAGTTAAAATCCTAGCAAACCTAAGAATATTATGTATCATTAGTTATACAACAAAACATTTAAATAATCATCATATTTCACTTCTAAAGGTATTTTGAATTTGTTTATATCCCAACAAAATTATACGAAATCTACTGAAGTTTCGTTTAAAGTTCAAATCACTCCTAAGGCCTACGATACTGCCATAATTTCAAATTGTGAATAAAAGCTGCAACCTCGGTTTCTATTTATTATCTAAATATCATTTGAAGTTTACATAACACCTTATTAGTTTCTTTTTTTATTTGTAAACCTAACAAAAAATTAAAGAAATTAAAATTAACATTTTAAGAAATGCCAAAATACCTTTCACTGCATAGGTAATCGATTTAGAAACTAAAAAAATCCAAATAAATTAAAGTGTTTTGTTTTGGTTAATATTTGAATTATCTAGAACTTACCACAACTAGTACAATACATTTATCTATTAATAAGAAAATATAGCAAAAATTCATTTATGACTTCATAAAATATTTTACAACCTAAAGATTCAGTTAAAATAACTTGCAATTAGTATTAGACAGTACACTTCAATCAATTAAATACCTTTCAAGTGAAATATGCACTGTTGAAGGTTTCCTTTTCATTTATTACTTTCATTTGACATTCAAATGTCTGCTTACCCTAACTAAATCGAATAGAAAATTTCCAGAGCCATGACTGTCCCCTCCGAAAGGCGAGTACCTTTTATCTCGGTCAGCATCATCGGTTTCGACGTTCGAAAGATCGTTTTCAGGTGCTGGTGCTACATTGCTAGACGAGGCCGCAGCATCTTGATCTTGCGCCTCTCTAGCTGTCCTTACTTGCCTGTTTAATTCACTTTCTTCGTTAACAGAAGACTGGAAAATAACAAGAAAAAATATATAAATACTAAATAGCTTCTGATTAGTTTTTGGTCTTGGCTTGATCAGTAACATGAAACAAAAGTTTTATATTCTATTACAAAAACCGTAATGATGACACGTATAAGTAATTCCGATCAGAACTAAATCGACAGCATGAAGAATGAAAACAAAATCAGATGATATTACTGAAGTTTCAAATCACTTCTTTTCTATCAGATTGATAGTATAATCCTTAAGGATACTAAACATAAGAAGAAAAAGAAAAAGAAGAACATCCATCTAAAGCTTTCCAATCAATCCTCAAATAAAAAAGAATTTATAATCAGTGGAAGACAACAAGTAGTCAAGCAATAGTTCATCAACTTTTCAAGACAACTAGAACAACAAATAAATAACTAGTTGATACACATTTTTAATCGTCAATACTGCGTCGATGTGAGTGGTAAAAATACGACGAAAAAATAGACAAACATTTAAATGATTACAATGTTGATTATTATAGGATATTATGATAATAATAATTTGTCATGCAGAGACAATTTTAAAACCAATTTTTAAAACATATTAAATACTTTATTAATATGTCGAGTATTTTTTGCAACGATTGTTGTTATTAACTTCTCTATTAAAATTAAAATGTGATTTTTCACTAACAGAGACTTGCTATTGGCTATAATAACAAAAGTATCGTCCTTAACAATTATTACAGACAACATCTGACAAAACTTTATGAAGTAATGTAATAAATTTTAACATTGGCAGTGGTCCTAGTCAATTGTTATTACCTTTTCATGGCTAGTGCTAAAAAAAGGCTTACAATGGAGTTAAACTTTAAATAGTGTTGTTTCTAGGAATGATCATTTAATGCACGTAACATTATGGAAGCCCATACTTCAGCATTTTTAGTACCTAATAAATGTTCACGGTAAACATAAAGTCATTTGTTGGTAATTTGAAAAATTGACTTTTCAGCTTTATTTTTTATAAGCAATTTTGCCTATCATTTATAAAAAAGGAGAAATTTTATTTTTAAATTGACTTAATCCAAAAATTCACTTGAACTTTTCTTGTCAACGCATGACCATAACTGTACTGAATAAATCATATTATTAAAGTTCTCATTTGGGAATTTAAAACAATAATTTTTTAGTTGCTGATTTATATTTAAAGCCAACTAACTGGATATTAGAATCAAAACCCTNCATTGATGTAAATTAATTTCTTCCCACTACAGTTTACTTCAAGTTAAAGAGGAAAAATTTTGTTATTGCTGTCACACCCTCTCCGGGAATCGAACCCGAACGCTCTCGTTGCTTAGAATGTAAGAGTACGTAAGAGTGCGTAATGCCCGGGTCCGGGTTCGACTCTTGGCGAGGGTGCGACTGCAGCAACAAAATTTTTTCTCATTAACTTAAGGTAAACTATAGTGAAAAGTATTTAATTTCACATTAATGTTTAATATTCATTAAATATTACCACTATTATAAAGTAAAAATTCTTAGTGTTGATATATTAATATATAAAGTTTAATCTAAACAATACTAAATTTCTACGATAAGAGAGAGATTCTCAAAAGCTCCTAAGTATCTTCAGTGCCAAAAAAAATATGCAAACTTTATTGGAATCCCTTTAACGTCGCTATTACTTGCCATTTTCTACTTGTTTTATAACTTATTTACACAAAAAAAAATCAACTTGTTTAAAATAGTCTACTTAATAGATACCAAATTATATTAAATAAAGGTGCTACACTTACCTTCCCTTAATAATGTAATTGATGCATTAAAAAAAATTCATGCATTCTTTATTTATACGACTATTTACATTGATTTGTTGTTTACGCGGATTTTCTAGTGACCTATACATACAAGGTTAATATTAAAAAAAAATTACATTTTTGCTAATACGGATGAGTGAGTATTCATTTTTAATTTGAATGTTTCGTATACAAAATACTTGTCGTCAAGTCTGTTCGTCTGTCATGTCTGAGATATATGAGGGAAGGGAAAGGGATTGGAAAAGGGAGAGGACTATGAGGCTGTCAAGAAGGAAGAGAGATTAAAGAGCTGGAAATTAGTTGCATTCCACAGAAAGAATAATAATAAAATGAGTGATGGAATATGAATGGAAAGAAAAACGTAGCCACCGTAAAATGAAGTGTAACAAATAGTGCTTGAAACCACAGACATGACATTTCCTCGCGAACATATACAACAAATTAACAAATCTATGTAAACTTTTTTTAAAGTTACATCTACTGCATTCTCAAGCACTATTTTTATTTACATTTTAGTAATTTTTCGATTATTATGTAAAAAATAGCTAGAAGTTATGATTCAGATATGCAGATATAGATACTATTTTTATTATTGGTGTTATTAATATTTATAAACAATTATTATAATACCATATTCTCATGAACAGGGTTAGATAAGTTGTATAGCTGTGAAATATTAATATTGTTACTGTATTATTATTCTGTTATTTGTTATGTTTCAGTAATGTTAGAACAATATGTATGTAATAATGAGTTTTTTCAATTTTTTGACAAGAATGCATAGCATTTCCTATAATGGACCATTAAAAATTAATGATATTAATTTTAATTTGCATTGAAATGCAGTTAGTTATTTGTTTCATAAATCAAATTAAAATTACTGCTTGCAATTAAATTTTTCGAAAGGTACTTTAATTACTAAAATTATGGCTTGATAAGTTTTTATAACTGGGAACAATTTTTACGTATTTTTAATCAGTTTTTACAGCAAATAAATAGCTTTCTTTATTTATTTAACGATTCCTTTTGTTTATTGGTTGATTTTTTATGTCCTGATTTTATAAATACTTTAAAAACTTTTGAAAAATATTATAAAACAAATACCCTGCGATAAAAGAAAACACACTAGAAAATTTCATAGCTACCATCACCATGTACATTCTGCAATATGTTCAAACCCTTTGTGAATATGTAAAAAGCACAATGATTTTTTTTCTCATAAATCATTAGGTTTTAGGAATGATTATACAGTAAAAGCAATAAAAACTGTGAACAGAAAAGTTGTATTTAGTCATGGTGCTTATTAGACATATTCACACTTTCGATAGTTAAAAGCTGAAATAAAAAAAAAGCCCGTCACCGACATAGAAACAAACCAAGAAAATGAAAGAAGAAATTACAGAGAGTAAAAGGTTCGGCGTAGTCTGGGCGGATACCTGGGGGACGGAGACAGGTACGGCAACGGCAGGAACAAGTGCCCCTGCGTTGGGCGCCAGTCCAAATCCTAAATTTTCAGTTCCAGCTACCATTCTGTATACTGTGCCTGCGGCTCTTGCCACACGGTCTGCTCCATTCTAACAACTCATAATGTTAATATTTGGAACAAAATACTTTGTCAATATTCGTTTAATGTGACGTACAGTCATTGTCAGTTAACAACAAATAGAATTAGGGTCAGTAAGACTAAATTTCGTAAAACACGCTCATTTAAAAGTGTTTTACATATGATTGTTATAATATCGCTACTATTCATGTTGTAACTCTATTATATAGTCCGAACTTTCAAAATTGGCATAGTCCGCAATAAAATTTTACTTTCTTCTTTCGACTTTAGCGATTACTGACAGAACGTCTACTTTTACTCATGACAGACGTTATAAGGAATATTGTAAACTTAGAAAAGAGATGTCAGGTAAGAATGACAATAAAGAAAAAGAGATAACATTACACCAATTAATGTATAACAGAAAGAGATACATATAAGCAGAAGAAAGTTGAACATTCTCAGAAATTTAGGAAAGTAAAGATGTAATTCTAACCAGGCAGTTATAAAACCGACCCTGATCTTTTGCGTACCTAGGCAACATCTAACGATCTAACCGCTGCACTGCTTACTATTGTTCGGTTATCTCTTTTCACTTTGTCTGTACTACTCATGAAGCATTTCCTAACTTGATAAGGGCGTGTTCAAAACGCAGCAAAAGACTACAGTCCCAAGTGGAAACAAGAAAGCAGATACATCCATTCTCACAGATAATTTATTGCGAACTATGCCAATTTTGATCGTACCGACTATAGACACAATATCAGAGGAACGTCAGGCACCTTCACCATTTTTAATAAACACAACGTATGTACTAGAATAATATGATATGGATGGAGTATAAACCGGAGGAGAGACGGCACTAGGCCCTTGTGTTCATGAGTTATTTATATTTTAATTTAAATTATTGCAATTTTATAATTCTGGTTGAAAGAAATTTTATAGTTTGGGTTTGAGTTTATAATTGCTAATCGTATTAGGTATAAGAAGGTTGCTAGTGAGCCTGCACCTTTACTAACTTGTTAGTTACCTTGAAGAGGCTTATAACCAATGGGTGAAACATTGCTTTTCTGGAAAAAATACTGTTTTTTTATCTGAACTTGTTCTGTATAAGCTAAGGAAACGAAATGGAGATGCGATTGTACATTATTTGTAACATAAGTGGTGAAATTGAACTTAAATTTCCATTTTAATATAATTTTGTTTAAATTAACATTGACTTTTATGTAGTAAAACTTCTCATAAACGAATAACAAGTTATTTTTAAATTATTATGGGATTATGCAGAAAAAAGCAACTGTAGATGAAAATTCATATGTACCTGCTACAAGAATATTACACATTTTGATTTATTTTGAGTTATTGATGCAGCTCTACTAATTATCTACAACTGCTATGAAACCTTTGATGAATCTGAAGTCTTTTATTGTTATTACTCTGTAGTGGTATTTCCTACTTATTTAACATTTCTTAATTCACCACGTTTACGTGCAATAGTTCCTCATTGGTCACCGATCGGTGAGCAGTCACATTGAATTGCATACAGCGTTCTTTCTTCCTATAATTTTCCTGTCTACAAAAAGTCTCTACTATTCGAAGCAATTCTTAAAATTACGGGTACCGATAGACAATTTACTAGTTGCTTTATTAAACAATAGTGTTGGTTGTGACATT